CTCATAGTAAAGGTGGAGGTCACAAATAATTCGCAAAATCACGGCAATTCAAGAAATCAGAGCGAGTGACTCACTTACGGCCGGCTTCAAAATATGTTTCAGCATAACAAAAACAAGAAAGATCAAATACTTGTACAATATCTAAAAGAGTACGAAAAATTGAGATTAAGCTTCGCTACTGATTGAATTTAGTTAAACAATCTTCTTAGTAATTGGCGCGGGCTCATAATTGCAAATTGTATATGAGCAAGTATATGTATGTATGTCTGTGTACATGCATACACAACGCACATTATTTCTCATTTTATGAAACGAGTATGATGTATAAAAAATCAGTTAAAAGAATGTATGACTCATTGTCACGGTCTCAGCTTTCAAAATTTATACACCTAGTTTTCATAAGCTTATTTGTAAAATCAAAGACTATTTTTGAGAAAACGAATATTGAAATTACCTGTGCCAATTAAAAAAAATGTCTTTTCATATATTAATAATTGTCATATTTCTTGTGCAAGAACTATATCAATATTAATTTTTAACAGCAACGTATCTCAAATCGATTTTAACAGCGCACCCACCCAAAGCTAAATTTGAAAATTATAGGGAGTTATTCATCCGACTAAAAATATTGTTCTTCACCTCCATAAAATTGATAATAAACATTATTGAGTTCTTGGCAAACTATTTATGTGCATACGTATGTATGTCCAAGATTTCAAATATAACTCAAAAAAATGCCAGCGGACAAATCATCCACCAAATGGAAGCAACCAAGTTGGCCCAAGTGTTTAAATATGTGCATGTGATTATCGACTGTCTGTCGGTCTGTCATTGACCAGCCACTCAGCGAATGATTTGTCAAATGAAATTTGTTCCTTTATTTCTTTCTCTGTAGCCATCATTCGACGATTAAATTGCAAAATTGATTGTTTATGCATTCAACACCTGTTGTGGCCCATTATTGCGGTTTAATTTTTCCGTTGTTATTGAATATTTTATTGTTGTCCCTCTTCCTATAATTTGCAGCAATAGGCATGTTGATAAGCAGCGCATTGGGAATGCGATTTTTTTTTATTAATTTTTAATACTTCTACAGTGATGGCAATTTTAGCTTCCATTATTAATGACAGATGGGCTGATTATGCTATTTTTACTGTGTAATTAGTTAAATTAAGGTATTTAAAAAATTTCTTAGAAAATTGAAATAATTAAATTAAAATCACAGATTGCATAGATCAATTTAGCTTACTGACAGTAGGATTAAATATTTCACAGAAAATTAATTTTCCTTCTCATTGTATAAAAGTGCAAAACTAATTGATTAATTATTGATTATTAATTTCATGGTGTAAATTTCAAAGATATTGCGGATTCAAAAAAGAAATTTAGCAGCTGACTTTGAGCAATTATTCTTTTTTAAAGATTTCCTAGTTTCAGGCAATTTCAAGATTGATAAAGGAAACTAAGCACTAATGGCTTTTTCACCATTTTTATTAATATTTTTAGGCATACTTAACCCCACTCACGTATTGCTGCTCATTTTCGTAATTTTTTAGTGAACCTTAAAATTGTGGTATAAAAATTGTCAACTCTAAAAAGCGTTTGATTTATAATTATTAAAAAAAAAGATAAATAATTTGAATATTTTTTCTTAATACAGTTTGCTAAAGGGTAACTGTAAACACCAAATAAAGAATTTTTTTTTTTTGACGGAACGAAGGTGAAGTTATTAGTCTTAGTGTTGAAATAAAAAATGAAAATTTATAATATAAATATTATATTACAAAATAGCGGAATTGTAGACATTTGACATGTGTTGTTTTCTTGCAAAAGCTTCGCGCCAAGCAGCCCACAGAATGCAAAATTTAATCTGAAACAAAATCTGTCTTCTTAACCTCCATACACGAAATAGCTGTAGACTCATTTAGAGGATTTAAAAAATATTGATTTTTGCATAATTCGCAAGGACTTTAAGAAAACTCATTTTTGGTCCACAAACAATGGCACTCAATTGTTTATAATAATTGTTTAAATTAACTACGTTCTTTTCCTCGGAATATTATTATTATTAAAATGCAGCGCAAAAGCCAATTAAATCTATTAAAAATTATTTCAGTTATGAAGCATTCCAATTGCGAAATACGCATTTTCAGAAAATCATATGCAAAATTTTTATTTATCCAGAGCGGCTTTATACAAAAAATTTTTTAAGCATTTGAAAAATAAGTAAGTTCTTTTCTGACGGAAAATTTATACTTTATCCAAAATGATGATTTAAATTTTTGTTTTGACAATAACTTTTGGAAATTTTTGTCGAACAAATCTGGCTCGTTGGCCGCAATAGTTTAGTGCTTAACATGGCAATCTGATAGCCAGGGCTCGCGTACTCCAAAATTTTAGAAAATTAAGTTTTCTAATTGCCGTTGTCTTTTGGTAGGAAATGTCAGAGAGTATTCCTATGAAGTTTTCAGGAGAAGATTTTTATAAAAAAAAAAAACTCCAAAACCAATTCTTCTTTCAGTAAGTGGACTTGATCTTATTTATGGTCTGATTTGGAACCAATCTATCCTTGTACTAGGTACCGATTATACTGGGGCAAATATTTTAATGGTTCAATTCTTTTAAATTTTTGTTTGAAGGAAAACAGAACTCCCAGAAATACTTAAATCTCAAGTAATAGTATTTATTTTCCTCACTATTTTCAAAGTCCTATTTAGTTCTGCTCAATTTCCGAACATTGACGATTTAGGCAAACTCAGTAAATTCAATATACAATTTCTCGGAGCAAAAAAATATTTTTCGAAATGGCTTTTCAGGAGTAGAAGTGGTACTTTCAGGTGAAATAACGATCCCAAAGAAACATTTTTTTTCTAGAAATGGCATGACCTCAAATGTAGAACCAAACGTGTTTTTTACACTTTTAGGTTGGAATATCTCAAAAACTTTACGTGATGGAACTGTTTTGAACGCATATTCGGATTCAGCTTAAAAACTTTCGAAAAAGTGTAGACCTGTTGCTGGTTACAAAATCGTGTTGACCTGCGTTATTTGTTATAATATTAAACTAAGAACCTGCACTGAGTGGACGGGATTCTCTTTTTAATGGACAAAGGGATTATTTTTTCATAATAAGTCAAAGCAAAGCTTCCGTTGGGCGGACGGGACTTTCTTATGTCGGACAAATTAAAAGAGTCAATGAAATTTGCATTAGGAATGTACTGACATTTAAAACACGTCATATATAAATGTATTTACCAGAAGAAAACGGGACTCTCCGGATAAAACAAAATGAAAATATTAATCAAAAAAAAAATTATTCTCGACTAGAATGTCTGTGAACAGAACTAACAACAAAGATGAGTACATACAAAAAAGACTCCAATTCACTCATTTCGCAGTTGAGAGCTTTTTCCCATCTCACAATCTCATGTTGGCCGCAGAGTCAGATCGAGGAACATTCAACAGCTGATTTGCAAAAGGCACCAGTACCACTATTTTAATGAAAAAAAATCGACTGTTTTAGTTTAAAAAGAAATTTACTTCAGCATGAAACACTAAAATTATTAAATATTTCATTTTCTCTCAGCAAAATATTGTTTTCAAACTGGAATTAAAGATGTCATTGCTCGTTATAAAGTATCCAAAATTCCAAACGGATTTTTGAGCGTTCTTACGAAATGAAGATTTTCGTATCTTCATTATCATCTTTGATAAAGAGTTTGATATAATGTTATCTTTGCCTCGCAATGACGTAGTCAAACTTGAGCTGAAAGGAGAAAATTAATCAATTTAGATTTTTTTTTTTCAATTTAAATTTTTTATTCCTCTTAGCATTGTGTACTAATATTTGGATGACCAGGGTTCGGACTCTGATTCAACCAACAATTTAAATTATAGAAAAATTATTATTTTTTAATTGGGGTCACCCCTCAGTAGGAAATGTAAAGCCCTCGGAGAGTATTTCTGACATGAAATCCATCGGACGTTCGGAGGCAGTTCAGAAGAGATGTTAGGCCCTTACTTTTATTGAACCTTGGTACCTTAAGTATACCTACTTAAAGCTGTTGTTTATCAAACTTTCCTTGCTATTTTTCTCACTGCACAAAGAGAGGGTGTACCAACTCTCCACGTGAATCTCCATGAGCTTTTTACAGAGCGCCTCAATTTCGATTATTTTATGTTGTTACAACCCAAGGTTTCGGAGTGTTAGAACCTCATTTTTATCAAGAGCTCATTGAATCTGGAAGTACGTCATTTAAGTACTCGTAGCAATATTTTCATTTGGGTCAAGTATACCCAAAGCTTCCATAATTATTTGCCGTTTAAGTACTTTTCACTTGCAACCAAAATAATGCAATTCACTGCTGACAATCAGTTCAATAACAAATAGTATGACAAAATACAACAAAACTTTACGGAAATCTCACCTCTGCATTTCCACTTGAGCAACTGTGGTGGCGTCAACGCCTATCGGGTGCATCATCACTCTTGATCTCCGCAGCAGCCAGTGCCTAACCAACAGACAATTGATGACGGCGCACAAACTTGACGGTCGAATAGTTTAGTTTGGCTTATATTATATAATGGTGAGTGGCTAAAGTAGCATGGGAAATGAGGAGAGTTGGGAAGAGGTGGAGGGAAGCAGAGATAGCTGAGAGCATCTTTACTTGAGTAATCACTGCAACTGATTTTCAAGTGGAACGGTTTTCAACACCCGTTTGGTGCTTGATTGGTTTTGTAAATGTGTATGTACGAATATTGTCTTCTATTTTTGCTTTGGCCAGCTTCCTTTGAACTTTAATTGCGCTCTGCTCTGCATTTCCAATTAAACTTTTGTAATTATTACAATGAATGAGCGGGAAATTTTCAACAGAATTAATTTTTGCTTCGCTCTACGATTTAACGGTAGTGTTATCAATTCTCAAAAAATAATAGTTTTACATTTAGTATATTTATAAAATGAATTCTAATTAACAAAGATTTATTCCTCTACATTGCAGGTCACGCTTGTACAACGTTGTAGGATAGCCGTTTGTAACATCACCGGCAAGTTGAGATTCAGGCGATAGCCAGCACGACAGCGCCAGAGACTTGAAGTAATTGCTTCAGTGCGAAAAGTTCGCTCATTATGACAACCCACTGGCACACGTTGCGATGGCGCGTCCTTGTGTCGGTAACCATTTTGCTTAGCTTAAGTCTAACACAAGTGACGGAAGGTAAAGAAAATTGAAAAAAGTTATGAGTAAATGTACAATAAATGAATGAATTATGAAATACACTCTCATTTCAGGATTTCCCTTCGTCTTCAATACCAACCGCAAGGTCATCAATTGGACTGTACCGGAAGACAACTGGGAAATTCATTCCGTGCCGCGCAGCATCACGCCTCATGTAGAGCTGAAAAAGTACCCTAACCGCACCAATCCCGATCCTGGACAGAGCGATGAAGAATTTTTGGCACGACTTCGAAACCTCAAGCGCAACGACACCATGGCGCGAATGCTTTGGTATGACACGACACCCGATGGCCTGAGTTATCCGCCTTTCGTAGACAAGGCACTGAAACTGTTCAATTTGAAGCAGGTGGCTTTCGAGATCGAGAACAGTGTCATGTCCAAAGTGTCGTGCACAGCTTGCAAAGCCGGTGCTGGTCTACTGCAGCACTACATACGCGCTGGCAAAACGAAAGGGGAAATTATAAAATTAATTTACGAATTCTGTGTTAACCTAAACATACAGAGTCCGCGCGTCTGTGAAGGTGTCTCCACACTCTTCGGTAGCGAAGTAATTTATGTGTTGCAGCGCGTGAATCTCGGACCAGATGAAATTTGTAGTTTTGTGATCGGTGATGCTTGTGGTGACGTTTACAATCCCTACCATGAGTGGGAAGTGATATTCCCGCCCGTACCAAAGCCACCAGTTGCAGAATTGAGTATGCCTAAAGAGGCGGCACCGTTCTTTAAGGTCTTACACATCTCGGACACACATTACGACCCACACTATGTGGAGGGCTCAAACGCCAATTGCAATGAACCGCTATGTTGTCGCCTGAGTAGTGGACGCCCATCAAACCCAAATGATGCAGCTGGCAAATGGGGCGACTACCGAAAGTGTGACACACCGAAACGCACGGTGGACAATATGTTGGAGCATATCGCCGACACGCACAAAGATATTGACTATATACTGTGGACGGGGGATCTGCCGCCTCATGATGTTTGGAATCAAACCAAAGAGGAGAACTTGGAGATTATCAAGGAGACTGTGCGTCAGATGTCTGAGAAATTTCCTGGTGTGCCCATCTTTCCGGCGTTAGGCAATCATGAAAGTGCGCCGGTTAATAGCTTTCCACCACCGTATGTAAACCAAGTGGATATCTCTATAGCGTGGCTGTATGACGAATTAGATGTCCAGTGGCGTCGGTGGCTCCCGCAAAGTGTTTCACATACAGTAAGACGTGGCGCGTTCTACTCGGTATTGGTGCGACCAGGCTTTCGTATTATTTCACTAAATATGAATTATTGCAATAACAAAAATTGGTGAGTATTTAAAGCAAAACAACTAATTTCCAGCCACTTCCGATAGCACTCTTCATTTTCTTTGATTTAAATGTCCCCTCATTACAGGTGGCTGCTGCTTAACTCCACAGACCCTGCAACAGAACTGCAATGGTTCATATACGAGCTGCAAAGCGCTGAGTTTTCCAATGAAAAAGTGCACGTAATCGGTCACATACCACCGGGGCATCCCGATTGCTTGAAAGTGTGGTCACGCAATTTCTATCGCATCATTTCGCGTTACGAGAGCACCATTACAGCCCAATTCTACGGACACACACATTTCGATGAATTTGAAATGTTCTACGATCCACACGACCTCAGTGAGTTGCAAAGGTTTAATTTAAGAAAAAGCAAACAAGAAATTATAGTAATAATCGATTTATCTCCACCAGGTCATCCCACTAGTATAGCGTACATAGGCCCATCCGTATCACCATACTACGATTTAAACCCTGGTTATCGCATTTATTATGTTGATGGTGACCATGATACTACCACGCGTCTGGTGGTGGATCATGAATCTTGGATAATGAATTTAAAGGAGGCGAACCTTTACGATTACCCTATTTGGTATAAATTATACACAACGCGTGCGGCGTACAATATGAAAGCGCTCAGACCGGTGGACTGGAGTAACTTGATCGATGAGATGGCGGACAATCAGGAACTATTTGATTTGTATTATAAGTAAGTTGGAAAAATGTATTTACTACGGGTACAGTAATATCCTTAAGGAAGTCTTCCGATATCTGAATGTAGACATAAAACAAATCATACCTGATTACGCAGTGTGCACCATGCAGACCTCACCTTCGGTATTTCAGCACAGAGAAACTCTGATATTCTTCAGCCAATTCTGACATTTTCGAATCAGTTTTAGAACACAACGTCCATTAAATGAACACCTTCATTCGATCCACAAAAATCAGCTCTTTTTCGCGCAGTCTGCATAACATTGGCCAGCGTTTTAGGAGTTTTAATAGCTATTCCGGCTCGTATGTTATCTTTTGGTTTGTCGATTGTCCTTAGCTCTCCACTTTACTTGCTGGCATAAACTTTACTTCTGAAATAGCACAAGGAAATAAGTCAGGTACAGTTAAATCTGGAGAACGAGGCCAATCGCCATTTTTCATGAAATGAGCTTCATACAATAAGCACACACTATTTTTACAACTCAACGATTGTTTTCAATCGATTTCAGCGCGTTCTTTCGGCGTGCATTGGCTCGCGATTAAAATGGCACTGAATGAAGTTTCAGAGTCATGCACATTTTTCAAAATCTTCTAAAAATCGGAGGAGCTTTCAAAAGCTGATCGTGATAAGCCTCAGTATTACTTAGTCAATAAAGAAAAAGTATTGATTGTATTTGTTGAAGTCAAATATTGCTGTAAAGGTCAAAAATTCTCCGAGAATCCAAAATGTTAACTTTTCCCTCGAAGTAGCACTGTTGGAAATTGTTATAAAAAAATATGGATTTGTGGAGAGTTTCATATCAACTAATCTCTGACCCGAATGCATTTCTTACTTCTCTAACCCAGCGATCGAAGTACGTCAAGTAATTCAAGATAATTTCAATCGTTTGCTGTATACTCTATATAAAATTGATTTGGATATGGAATATCAATCTCTCACCATACATTTTTAGTAAATACACAACACAGATGGTTCATCTCACAAATCTGAGGATGAGCTCAGCCAAATATCTACCATTTTTTATATTTGCCTCTATGACGGTTTTCGGAATCATATTATTCTATCCCAGAGGATTTTAAGATTCCAGAAGCATGAAAGCTTAATTTACCAGTTCAACTTTTGCCCTCTATTTTCTACTTAGTATTGCGTACTCGAGCTTAGTTCTCATAATAAATTTGATGCTTTCACGAAAAGTTTAAGAACTTCGCCATGACCACAGCACCTCTTGCTTGTTTAATTTAATTTTGATATATATGAGGGGATTAACAAAAGTTCGGTGAGTTGACCAGAAAAAATAAATGTTGTATTTATTTGCATTCCTCATTCTTTTTTTATCTTTTCTACATAATCGCCATTGATTTAAATGCATTTCTTAAGCCTAGAGATCCATTTCTGAAAAGAGTCTTCAATATCTTGCTTTTTAGGCTTATCAAGTTCAGCATTAACCGCATTAATTATCTCCTCGTTGCTAATAAAAACATCAGAAGGCGGTATATCTGGGGAATATGGCGCTGGACGATCCCAGCGATCGCAATAAAATTCGTTATTTCAGCAGTGTGGGATGGCGAGTTATAATGGTGTAAAAAGTTACGCTGCAAATCATCTTTCTTCCTGTTTTCGAACAAATTTTTTAAAACATTTGAAAGCACTTTTCGTTGTACCACTTTGCAATTGCCGCCTGACCCGTTTTCAGTGGAAAAGCAGCTTCGATTTTAGATCAGGTGACGTCAGTACTTTTACTGCTTAGATTTTGCGGGTGGGTTTGCTCCTGTTGGACTCCATACCATGGTTTATGGATCGCACTTATATAACCAAGATTCGTCGATTGATAGACTGACCATTTTCGTATTTCTTTAAGAAAAGTTGAGCAAAATACACTCGAGTCTCTGTTTGGGTCTCATTTAAAAGTCGTGGTACCCTTAGAGCAGATTTCTTCGTGTATTCCAAATGATTACTTAATATTCACGATACAGCTTTGGCATTCAATCCCAATTCATGAGCAATCATTTCTTGTGTCTACTGTGTGTCTTCGTCATTTTTGGACTTCACCAGAGCTACAGTGACGTTATCAGTTTAAGATATTAGTCGACCTTCCTTTGGCTCGTCCTCTACGGAAAACTGTCCTGTCTGGAGTCTTTGGAATCACTTAGACATAGTCTTCAAAGATGGAGCAATAGTTCCATATGCAATTTGGCATTCACTGAATATTCGTATCGGTTGTAAATTGACCCGACGAGAACCACATGGCGAATTTCTTTTTGCGTTGGTGGTGGAATTTCTTCTGACCTTTCTTCATCTATCTTGCGTTTTCTTGTCTCTAAAATTTGAGAGGAACTCTAACAAAATAATTGTATTTTTATATTTAACAAAAACAAATTGGAAATCAGCAACTGACCGAACTATTGTTAATCCTCACGTACATTCAATAATATATAGTGTTGATAAGAGATTAAACCTAATCAGTTACTTTTAAATCTTCCGCAGAAATTACTGGAAGAATTCGCCAATACGGCCAGTTTGTGATGCCGAATGTAGAAAGAGGATGCTGTGCGACTGCAAAAGTGGCCGTTCACACGACAGGAAACACTTTTGTCAAGATGTGGAAGCAAAGGTAGATGATGGTTCATCGAAGTCATGGAAATCATGGCTGTATCGTGGCTTGACAAACTCGTACGTACAATTGTTAGCGTGAATGAATTCGATGTAGATTTTTGTTGTTCTGTCTGGTGAAGTTTCCGATGTATTAATGTCTTGAAAAATTTTGATTTGTATGTAATTGGAATTGGTACATAAACATTGCTATATTTGGCCAAATAAGGTTTATTTTATTATTTGAGTAATTTGGATGATTTTAAAAGCTCCTCAGTGGCTGTACATATATTTCTGAATTAATATTTTTAAATTTTATGCATTTTTTAATATTTTTATATTTCATATTTATTTCATCGAAATCATAACACTAAAGAAATGTAATCGGTGTTCGCTTACGATCTTTTACTAACCAATGCTTATCCATATAGCTTTTCTGTACATACATACATACATATACTATATACCATTTTTGCTTATTTTTGTAGTGTTTCAACCGTCACGCACACTTATGAAGCAGTTTCACAGATTCTAAAATGATAAAAGTAGCTACATTTGCTTAAAAGCTTTAGTAACTAACAAACATGCATATCTATACATACATATATACAAAATCTAATATTTGCTTAATTTCTCTTTACCAGTATTTAATAGATAAATTGTAGTGAATTTGTTTTATTGCGAATTGATTTGAAGAGTAGTGATATCAAACATTTTAACCAAAAAACTAACACATTTTGATTATTAATTAATATGCTTCAATATATTGTACACACACACACGTGTACTCTCATATGTGTATGCAACAAAACGGTGTTTGGAACAACAAAATACAAAATACAAAATACATACACCATCCACTACCCAATTTGGATACATATGTCACACGTAACGGTAATTGGCACGCATAAATTGCAATAACAATGCCTCCTCAGCGAGGAGAACAGAGCAGCGTCGGCGGCGGACACCACAACTGAAAAGTGGACAGCGCCGGATGTACTTTACATATACACACGCTGAGTGTGGCGAAAATGCTTAAACACACACACACACACCTACACGTAAACACAAACCAATATAGATAATATACTTTTATATATTAAATTTTTAATTACTGGATTTTGGAGGATTTGGTGCGGTGCAAACGGGGTTTTCTGGTCGCTTGAGGCACAAAATATCAAACAATGATCGATCAAACGAGTCAATATAAAATGTATATATATATATTTTTAGCACAATAATATTTGTAATAAACGCAAATAAATAACTTGAAATCAAAAAGAAAAAAACTTCAACAATTTTTTTTCGCAAACATCCACATTTAGTTATAGCCTGATTTCATCTATCACATATCTGCCCAAATACCTGATGGGCTTTGGTTGAACGGAAGCTTGCTTGCTTCACGAACGCTTGGAACACTGCAGCTGCTGCAAACACAAAAATTCGTATGTCGGATCACTGAAAATCGAAGGATTCGCGCTGTCTGGAAGCGGCATAAACAATTCGAGAATTTCTCCTGTAAAAGTGCAAACAAATTGACTCGAAAATTGTAATCAATTAATCATTTAAGTCATTTAGCTAATATTTGTATGTATGTATATTGTAGACGAAGCAAGAGTATGAATGTACATTAATTATGTGATTATTAGAGCTTAAACAACTTATTTCTAAGTAGACTAATAAATCTTCAAAATTACAGAAGTGAAAAAATCCTTTGGTATTAGAAACACGTACACGTATGTATGTATGCGTGTTTACATTCCAGTGTATAATATACCCATATGCAATATAATATAATACTCATAATTCATATTTCGTATTTTCCCACAAAGAAAATTTCGGCTCAACCGCAAAATAATATTTAATTTGTTTTTAATAATATTAACTTTTAATATTTAATTAAGTGTATTCAATTAATAAACGAACAACAAACACACAGTCATAACATAAGCATAGCGAAGTCCGCACACCTGCAAATACACTCATACCGTTAGTTTCATTGTGAATAAATTGCTAAGTTTTATAAATGTAAATTTTAGACTAAAACTCTATGTAAAATATAAACGAATATTAAATTAATGTTTGCTTTTCAACTGTACATTCCAGTCTTGTTGCGATATTTGTTTGTACTGTAGCCCGTAAAAGCTTTATCTTAGACACAAACCTCAGTAGTTAACAGTTTGAGAGCATATCTATTTATGCGTAAATTATTGTTTCAGAGAAGTTACAGGCATCAAAAAACTGTGCAACTCAGACGGTAATAATGGAATAGCTTTTTTATACATTTTATATACGGAAATCTTAATTATACCTCACATTAGGCGCCACATTAAGAGAAATTCGCTGACAGTATTCAAAGTAACTGTTTGAAAATCATTAACTCTAGAGAACATTTGTGTTGTGTTCAAATTTGGAGTTCACTCCGGACTAAGTACTTATGCACAACATCACAAGCTTAGCTAATTTAAGAGATTTGTTATGCTGCTTCGTCGTAGAGGCTCTTCCAAAAACCAGTCTAATTGTCGGAAAGAAATTCTCATAGCATTTTTAGCCACGATAGTTCAGTACTTAGCATTACATGCTGCCATTCTGAAGGCCAGGTTTCGAGTTCTGGTTCGACGAACAACCATAATTATATAAATTTAATTTTCCTAATTGACGTTGGTCCTGGTTAGGGAATGTCAAGCCATATCTTTTCAACTTCGGCACCCAAGAATAAACGAGAAATTTCATTGAAAATTATATGAATAATAATAATAGTAATAATAATAATAATAATAATAATAGTTAATTAAACACTTACAGTTGACCAAAAGTGTACTGAAATATTGTGAGCTAAATTCCAGCCGATAGTCCCATTTTTCTATAATTTTTTACAGCAATTGAGGCCGTATTTTAGCAGTAAAACACCGAATATTCAGTTCCAAGGAGTCAATCGCCTCGGGCTTGTCTGCGACCCAGCCTGTGAATTGCAGCATAAAGACTTTACTGACTCATCTGTAGCCAGCTCTCCGTTTTGTATATATAAAATATTTGAATTTATTTCTAGCATCTTTAATTTGTAAAGACAGAAAAGGAATTATATAATATATATAATACTAGATGTACCTTGCAACGCTTCGCTGTGCCACATATTAAATTAATAAATATATAAAAAATTAAACTTTGAATATATTTTCATCAGAATTTTATTTATACCTTTGAGTATAAAATATTTTTGGATTTGCCATCGGCCACTCAAAAAAAAAGGACATCGTACAGGAAACTGTAGCCACTTGTATTGAAAACTGCTCGAAAGAATGATAAAGTTCGGGATAGAGGAATCCATAACTAGTGCCGAAGGTATGTCAAAGAAGCAACATGGATTCAGACACAGGAAATTGACTCTAGACGTTCGAGAATGTAACAAGAAGCGTAAAACTAGCTCACCGTCGTTCCCACAAATATAAGAAGATAGTGCTTTTAGCCACGTTAGATATCCGCAAGGCCCTTAATAGCGTCAAATGGAAAGATATTATCGAAGATCTGGGAAAAAAATTTAATATTCCTAACTACCTAAGTTTAAAGGTAAGAAGCTACCTCAAAGACAGAGTTTTCCTATACCAGACCACAAATGACCCCCCAAGCCTTAAGATCACATCTGGCATAGCACAGGGATCGATACTCGGTCCTTATCTATGGAATGTCTGATCCAATGACATATTAAACCTCGATATGCCGGATGACCTGGTAGATTATAAAGATGACAATGACATGAAGAAAACCAGTTTATGATATGAACACAAACGTGGCTTGACTCACAACTTACTAACAATGAAACTGAGAGCTCAGTAGGCAGTTCAAAAGTAAAGTCCTCTCTTTAAAATCCAAAACTAAACTCTACAAGTCATTCATCATTCCCGTACCTCTATATGATGCAGAAGCCTAAACGATGTCTGCGAGAGAAAGGTTTTGGGAACAATTTATGGTCTATGGTCTGGGGAATACCACAGACGATGGAACAATCAGCTGCACAAGTTATAAGGTGACATTGACATAGTTCAAAGAATAAATAGGCAGCAGCCTAGCTGGCTGGATCATGTCGACCAACACAGTGACATAGTTCACCCAATATTTCCGCAATAATTATGCGATCTTCAAAGTTTGGCCAGTACAAAAAACGTCAATCTGTTCATGCGGACAATCTTTCGCTTTTGCTAGAAAGCTTTGAGTTTTTGGAACTCAATGGGGTACGAAAGAATCACCCATATCTCAGATTTTCCGATGCTACTAATATGAAAAAAAATTCTCCCATAATATTTTCATCTTCATCTGACAGACATAATTGCTAAAATGAAGTTTTAGTTTGACAAACTTAATTTCCCTGTCGACTATAAGAAGGCAATGCGTGTAAAAACTACATTGTATGTTTGCATAAATATATATGTATATTCATACGTGTATACATATGTTTGTGTTCAAGAAGTATTTGACTTTTTTCAATGAATCTCATTCCTGCTTAATGGTTTTTGTCATTTAACGTAAAAGAAAAACAAAACCTGTGAATGAAATGCTCACCCGCCAACACCACTATGATCGGCAACAGTTGATATCCCCACTGAATGAATTAATGTGTCGTAATTAAAGCCAATACTCAATTACGAAGATCAAATTTAGATATGAGTAACAGCAAAATTAAGCTACGGTAATAGTTGTAGCGAATTCGCGAAACGTCAATTGATCCAATTGCATCGAATTCATAGAGGAAATACTGTTCGACTTACCAGCAGCAACGAGATCGCCAATTTGGTGATTACAGAAGGGAAATTTCTAAGTGGGATTTGTGAATTTGAGAATGAAGTGTCAGTTGGACAAATTCAATGGCTGGAAGGCGCTGATATTTTGAATGGATTTCAGAGTGAATGGACGTGAAATTGAAGGCAAGAAAAAGTTTCATTTCCACTTATTTTTTCCAATACAATCTCATATTTTATCAAATATCGACCTGCCCCTATTATTTTGCAACATTTTCGCTAGCCAATTAGGCGGCGCGAACTGTTCTTTCAACGCGGTGGTATTTGATAACTTAATCATATTATATTCTGCATATTTAAACAATAAAATACTCAAGGAAATATTAGCTCAAATGCTTTCTTTGAATATTGAATTACCATTAATTGGTCCGAATTGGGGAAAAAAATACTGCTGATATGTGGAATTCCGCTTTCGAGTTTAGAAACATAAATACTCATAATTCACTTTTCCCACTTTTTTCTAGTTCAGCACAATTAATTTAATCATATTTGAAGTGGACACATGCATTACAGGCATAATTAATAATGATAAAGTTGGGGAAAAAAAGTAAACATTGTTTGCATATATTTGCATTAAGGTCATAGAACTTTGGCGAACCTTAAACTGGAGTTCTTCTATGGAAAGAGGTGTGCACGTTATTTTGCAAATTCAAGCAGATTTCTTGTTGGCGCTTTTCGATATGCCAACACATGCATGCATGTATACCCAATAAACACAACGAATGCCCTTCGAAAGCGATACCAACTCGTGTTGTCTGAGTCACTCTCTTTAGAGAATCGCGTATTACTACAATAGTTTTCAATCCGTGTGCTAACAGTGTGTTTGAAAAGATTTATCTTTATGCATAGGATTTTTATTCATGTTTCTTTGAAAGGACCCTATCTATTTGGGTTTTAATTTAATCAACGGATTTTTTAAAATAATTATTCAATACCTAGAAATAAATATGGCGGCTGCGGTAGACGAGTGGTTAGCATTGCGTACTGCCATTCGGAAGGTTCGGAAGGCTCGTCATAAAAAAAACATAAGCCATTCGGAGGCGGCTTAGTATAAACTGTAGGTACCTCCATTAGTTGGGAAAACATCAAAACGCAAAAACAAAGAAATTGAAGAAGGAGCTCGGACGAAAATCGCTTCAGCGGTTACAAAGTGCCATTTATATATAGAAACAAATATGGTTTGGCAAATGACTTTAAATACACATATATATATTCTTCGCAATGCTATTAGTGTGATTTGTAAAAGTTGACTAGAGGTCTCCCGTACCCGTCTAGAATTCGAACTGTTTAGTAGAGCCTCTGCTTTTGTGGTTGTTGGGTATCGTACTCTTATATGCATTTAATTTCATTTGTGATCAGGTAAGAAATATATAAAAATGTAATTGTTCATATCGTTTGCAAAACCTAACTTCGTCAAGTGCGCCCCATTGTTTAGAGTGCTAACGGAATTCATTAAGATTATGAATCTGGATTTGTCACTAAACTGTGCAACAACTCGTTGTATATATACTATATAATTACTTTAAATAGCCTTAAGTCTTCTTTGCTCTTATTAGTTACTAAGAATTTATAGTTCACTTAACTGAATTAGAAAGAAAATACTATATTTTATCATATCGAAGTCTTAATGACCATATCAAATTTTTGGTTATCCATTCCAAGATTAAATATTAATTCTCATATCTGTACAAAGCGGTTGTATAGAAGCTTATGATACGCCGTAATCCTCCGATTACGATGGTTTTCTGTGTAAACATTTGTTTAATATTAAGATTTTAGATGCTTTTTTGGCAGATTTTTGAACCAAAACCTTGTACATCTGATGAACATCTGATGATTATTTTGAAGTACTATTGATTTCTTTTCCTTCCGGTGCGTACATACTTCGGACCAAATTTGGGAAAATATTTAAAAAAAAGTTTCTATGTCACAGGTTACCTCATTTTCCGTGAATCTGGAGGTATCTTCATATCTTATTGGTGAAAGCAAAAGTCTTCAATATTTGAGAGCCACTGGAAGTTTTCCTTCACCTTAATATTTATCAAAATTTTAACAGGAATACTACCGGAGAATTTTTCTTTACTACACATTCTTATTTCAGCCAGCTTAAAACATTGGTGAATTTTCAATTCGATAAACCTCCATTTTCAAATATTTTCATACAGTTACTAGTTTTCTAATTTTTAAAGTATTTACGTGTTGATAGGCATTTCTGAAATATATTTATAATTAAACGATTTATTTCTTTA